AACGCTTTTACACTGTTGGTGGGAGTGTTCAACCATTGTAGAAGACAGTGTGGTGATTCCTCAAGGATCTTGAACCAGAAATACAATTTTACCCAGCAATTTCATTACTGGGTGTATACTCAAAGGATTATAAATCATTCTACTAGAAAGACACATGCACATGTATGTTTATTGCAGCACTGTTCACAATAGCAAAGACTTGAAACCAACCCAAATGCCCATCAATGATAGACTGGATAAAGAAAATCTGGCACATATCTACCCTGGAATACTATGCAGCCACAAAAAAGGATGAGTTCATGTCCTTTGTAGGGACATGGATGAAGCTGGAAACCAATTCTCAGCAAACTAACACAAGAATAGAAAACCAAACACCATATATTCTCATCATAAATGAGAGTTGAACAATGAGAATACATGGACACAGGGAGGAGACTATCACACACCGGGGCCTGTCAGGGGGTCTGGGGCTAAGGGACAGGTAGCATTAGGAAAAATACCTAATGTAGATGACAGATTGATGGGTGCAGCAAACCACCATTGCATGTGTATACCTATGTAACAAACCTGCACATTCTGCACATGTATCCCAGAACTTAAAGTATNAAGTTCATCATCACTGGTCATTAGAGAAATGCAAATCAAAACTACAATGAGATACCATCTCATGCCAGTTACAATGGCAATCATTAAAAAGTCAGGAAACAACAGATGCTGGAGAGGATGTAGAGAAATAGGAACGCTTTTACACTGTTGGTGGGAGCGTTCAACCCTTGTGGAAGACAGTGTGGTGATTCCTCAAGGAACTAGAACCAGAAATACAATTTCACCCAGCAATCTCATTACTGGGTACATACCCAAAGGATTATAAATCATTCTACTAGAAAGACACATGCACATGTATGTTTATTGCAACACTGTTCACAATAGCAAAGACTTGAAACCAACCCAAATGCCCATCAATGATAGACTGGATAAAGAAAATCTGGCACATATCTAGCCTGGAATACTATGCAGCCATAAAAAGCATGCATTCATGTCCTTTGCAGGGACTTGGATGAAGCTGGAAATCATCATTCTCAGCAAACTAAAACAAGAACAGAAAACCAAACACCACATGTTCTCATCATAAGTGGGGGTTGAACAATGAGAACACATGGACACAGGGAGGGGAACATCACATACTGGCGCTGTCAGGGGGTGGGGGGCTAGGGGAGAGACAGCATTAGGAAAAATACCTAATGTAGATGACGGATTGATGGGTGCAGCAAACCACCATGGCATGTGTATACCTATGTAACAAACCTGCACATTCTGCACATGTATCCCAGAACTTAAAGTATTAAAAAAAAAAAAAGATAATAAAAGAGAGAGGAAAAAAAAGGTTAAACAAAAATAGCTGGGCACAGAGGCGTGTGCCTGTGGTCCCAGCTACTTGGGAGCCTGAAGTGGGAGGACTGCATGAGCCAGGGAGGTCATGGTGGCAGTGAGCTGTGATCACACTATTCCAGCCTGGGTGACAGAGCGAGATTCAAAAAAAAGAAAGTACAAAGCTGATATCAATGGATGTACTTAGAATTTTGAAGCTGTTACTAAATCTTTAGGAAATGTAGGGATAGTGCTAAACTCCACATGAGATACCGTGCTAAGCCTTCCCATCATGTTTTTACAATCATTTGTAAGAGTGCAATTAATCTGACAGGTGAGCTAGTAGTCAAGACGCAGGATTTATGCCCAGCATAAAAAGGTGCTTAACAAAAATGTAAAAAACTGATAGGAAAATTCTTGAGAGTCTTACAAAAAGGAGAGGAAAAGTCTATATCTAATATTGTAGACAGAGCCTTTTCTGAAGGCAGGTTGTAAGCCTTAAGAATTAATAAACTTTTTCAGTTCCTATACTTCTATGTTAGGATAAATGTTTAAAAAAAAAAAAAAAGGCTCCAATTACACTTTTTCGTCCTGAATACACAATGCAAAGGGCAGACTACAAGTTATTCTGAAAGAATGAGCAGATACAAAACTACCTCCTGCACAGGTAGAAGAATCCCTCAATAATGGGGCATCTTCATTCAGAGAAAAGCTGTCCTCTTTTAAACAGGAAGCCAAAATCCTGGCTCTAGTCCTAGCTCAGAGCTCAGACACTAACTAGCTGTGAAAGTCAGGTAAGTCCCTTTTTCCTTTTCTACTAATTTCTAGAAAAGTTATACTGTTACTCTGAAAGATTGTCATGTTTTTGTTACCAACTTTCTTAGTAAATACATTGCACATGCTGAATGTCAGCATGTGCAATGCATTTACTTAAAAAAAGACATACCCATACATATGTCAGTAAAGCACTGGAATAAGCTTTTAGCTTGTCAATGTGGATATTGAGCAACTAAAATTATTTTTATATAAGCTTCACACATATATATTTGGAACATAATACACAATAAATGTTTGTTGAACAAATGAATGAATCCATCCATTTATCCATCTACCTCCCAGGTAAAAAATGATAAGGTTTACTTAGGCTAAATTAGGCATGGAGTTGTTACCATTACTAAAGCCACTCCATGTGCAAGAGGAACATCTGGCTAGAAATTAAGAGATGTGAGTTCTAGTCCCAGCTCTGTTATTAATACTCTTCTAATACTTAATTTGTGTGGCCTCAGTTTGCCCATTTATGAAAATGCAGATACTAAAATCTTCCCTCCATAGGTGAGGACAAATAAAATGATGTCTTTTTTCAAAGACAGAACTTTGAAAAAAATCGAAGTACTTTATAAATAAAAGATATCAGCTGTGATCTCATATCCACAAAGAAGCTGAATTTAGGAGTATGAAGAAAAAGATTGTGAGAAGAAAAGAAAACTACCAGAGAACTATATCCTCCACTTCATCGGGTTTTCTGCTTGGGGCTAAGAACTGTCCCTTAGGGGATGGAGGCAGCAAACCACAATACCATGTGTGTACCTATGCAACAGTCCTGCATGATCTGCACATGTACCCCAGAACCTAAAGTACAATTAAAAAAAAAAAAAAAAAAAAAGAAAAGAACTGTCCCTTAGAATGAAACAGATGCTCATAGTAACTCCTAAGCAAACTCCCACGGCACTTGACCATGTTGACTTATTATTTTTTCTTTTCTTTCTTTTTCTTTTCTAAACAGACTGTATACCATATATATCTTTTACAAAATAACAGTTTATTGAAATATTATTTATTTATTTTTTTTTTTGAGACAGGGTCTCACTCTGTCACCCAGGCTGGAATGTAGTGGCAAGATAGCGGCTCACTGCAGCTTCAACCTCCTGGGTTCGTGCAATCCTCCCACCTCTGCCTCTCCAGTAGCTGGGACTACAGATATGTGCTGCCATGCTCAGTTAATTTTTGTATTTGTTGTAGAGACAGGGTTTTGCTGTGTTGCCCAGGCTGGTCTCGAACTCCTGGGCTAGGGGGATCCATCCACCTCAGCCTCCCAAAGTACTAGGATTACAGGCATGAGCCACTGCACCCAACAGATATAATTTACATACCACAAAATTTACTCCTTTTAAGTGCACAATTTGGTGGTTATTAGTATATTCACAGAGTTGAGAACTGTCTCTAATTTCAGAACATCTGCATCACTCCTAAATGAAACTACCCATTAGCAGTCACTTCCCATTTGACACCCCTCGGTTCCTCCAACCTCTGGCAACTACTAATCTACTTTGTGTCTCTATAAATTTGCCTATTCTGGACATTTCGTATAAATGGAATCACACAATATGTGGCCTTTTGTTACTGGTTTCTCTTAATATAAATACTTGACACTAACAAAGTTCTCACCCCAAAATTATTCCTCAGAAAAAAGGGGACACATTCCTTTGGATACCTTACAAAGCCTTTCATAAGAAGGGACATTCTATTACTTTATTTTGAATGAGACTGGTATAAGCCAATATTCAGAACCTCTGACTAGAACCTAATCAATTATAATTCTATATGATTATAAAAAGACTTGCTTTTCCCATTGTTAAAAGTTTAAATGCAAATATCTTATGAAATATAAATGTGGGAAAAGGGCAGTATTTTCATATGAACAGATTATTAAAGTAATTTCAAACATTTATAAAACTAAATTAATAAATTAAATGTTACATATATATTACTGTTTCATCTGCTTCCCTGCAAGTTTATCATTCAAAATGAGGGGAGAAATTTAAAATTCAAAATGGATCTGTTCATTGAAAACACAAGGAAGACTGTTTTATATTCAAGATGATTTTATATCTGAAACTTCTAGGATCATTCAAAGACAAGGTCAGATATGCTTATCTTCAGGCCTAACATCACTGACTTCTCTCCTAGAACTTTAAAAAGCAGTTGAAATCCAATTCTTAGCAAATATCTCAAAAGAAAACTGAACTTTGTAAGTAAATATCATAGAAAAATTGAATGAGGTAATTTTATTTTAGAAAAATACTGTTCGGGAATGAAGTGATCTTAAGGGCTATTGTCAACCCCCTCACTTAACTTATGAAATAAGGCTGAAAGAGGCTACCTGACTTACCCAAGATCATATTGCATGAGGGCTTACCAGGCTAAGTGCTATCCATGAATGATTTCTTAGTTTCCCACAACTGTATTCATTTCCCTACTTTATGGCTCAGGTTTAGAGAAGTTAAATGACTTGCTCAGTTACTCAGCTAATATGTGGCAAAGGTGGGATTCAAGTCAGATCTCTCTAGCTTCAGAACCAGGAGGCTTAACCGTGTTGCAATACAAGTCTTCAGCTTCTCATCAGAGAACCCTGCCCAGAATCACGTGGTTTAAAAAAATCATTTAGCCAGGTTTGACATTTCTAAACTAATTTAATTGGAATAGAAGAAAACATCATTAGAAATTAGCAAAAAAATTGGTGAAATAAGAGAAAAAGATATGGGTGAGATAACAGGTCTGGCATTATTTTGAAGTTTATAAAAATATCTAAAAATAAAAAAAGTCATGGGTTATTCAAAGGAAGTCAGTTTTACCTGGTTAATTCTCTTAGTCGAGTCACCTCAGCATCACACTGACATAATGTTATCCCCAAATCTGGTTTTCTTTTCAGCAGTTTCTAACTTAAACTGGGAGTTTTTCACATTGACTAGGGCTTCCTCCAATTCTAAAACAACAAAAGTTTCAGTTTCCTTATTCCTTTTAAAAAATGTGACCATAACTACTGTGTAAATACGTACCAATTTTTATTCTTATCTCAATGTCATATTGCTGTTTATTTTCAAGTATAATTTGATCTTTGTCTTTAAATATGCTAGTAAATTTTTTGTTTACATCTCTCTGATTTTCAATCACTTTTAAGAGCTCTTCATTCTTACTCTGAAGTAATTCCTGGCTCTTTAGTGACTCCTCCAATTGATTTTGCAGTGACATATTCAATAACTGAAGAGAAAACACTGTAAGACAAAATGGATCAAATTGTTGTTTCCCAAACCTAAAAAGTACAAACTTGGAAAACACCTGTTTCTTAAAAAAAAAGTTCTGAAATACATTGATTTTGCTTAACAATTAATTGCATGAGTAGTTCTAAGCAGTTCTACATAAATACTACATAAATTTTTAAAAGTTGATTGGCAGAATTCACAGCTTTCTTTTCCAATTAACATTTTAAGCATTAATTTTTAACCCTTTTAAAAGAAATAATACATAATCCTTTTAAAAGAAAGAATAATACATGTATAAAATTAAAAAAATTCAACCACCACAAAATGTCAATAATACCATATGATCCCAATGAAGAATCTCCCTCTCACTCCTCTTGGTCCCCAGAGAAAATCACTATTCATTTTGGTATCTTTCAGGAAAACACTTTTGCATATGGTATTACACATATTCCACACACTACACACACACACACACACACACACACACAATACAGTTTCTAACTTTGCCTTTTATTCCATAAGACTGTTGTACACAAACACATAGAGCTACCACATTCTTTTTTCATGGCTATAAAAGTAAATGGCACCATATATTTAGCAAATACATCCTCAGTGAATACTTACTATGTATGAGGTATTGTATTAGAGTCGGAATATACAGAGATCAATAACACAGACACGGTCCCTGTTCTCACAGAGCTGATAACAAACAAGTAATTATAAATAGTAATGAACTCAAAGAAACAATAAGATAAATGAACAGATAATATAAAGAAGAGAAGCTATGTAAAGAGGCAACTACTGATCTCCCCACTTGTCCTCTAGGCCTTCTCTCTCCTACCCACTCCCTCTCCTCACCTTTGGTTAACAATGGAGCCAAAGTGATAATTTCTGAATCATTCTGATGAAATTGAACACTTTTATGTTGGGTAATCATATTTTTTTCTTATTGCTTTATAAGATATATTTATATATTAAGAAGATTAAGCCTTTGTTATGCCATGTATTGTTTCCCCATTTTGTTGATGTGCTTTGAATGTATTTATAATTTTGCTACGTAGAAATTGAAAAAGTTTTCTGGGGACATATTTTATCAATCTATTCTTCTGTGGCATCTGAGTCTTTTTCAGGCTTAGGAAAAGCTCCCCCCACAAAAAAAAATTCTCATCTTTTTTTCTGGTACTATTATAATTTCTTTCTTTATTAAACTGTGATCATTAAGGACCATTAGGTAATGTGTGTCACAACTGCAACTGTATACACCCTTTGGCTCGGCAATTTTACTAAAAATCTATACTACAAAAATGCTGGCTAGGTGGGGTGGCTCATGTCTATAATCCCAGCACTTTGAGGGGGCCAAGGTGAGTGGATCACTTGAGGTCAGGAGTTCAAGACCAGCCTGGCCAACATGGTGAAACCCTGTCTCTTATAAAAATACAAAAATTAGGCAGGCATGGTGGCAGGCACCTATAATCCCAGCTACTTGAGAGGCTGAGGGAAGAGAATCACTTGAACCTGGGAGGCAGAGGTTGCAGTGAGCGAAGATCTCACCACTGCACTCCAGCCTGGGCCACAGAGTGAGACTCCATCTCAAGCCCCCCCATAACCCCAAAACAAAACAACAAAAAAGCTAACATGTGTGCACAAAGACATATACAGAGATTTTCACTGAAGTGTTGTTTGCACTGGGAAAAAAGGGAAAAGTACTATTAACAGAGGACCATCTTATGGTAGACCTGGATAAGCAGAATACCCAAGTAAATCTTAAAGAGAAAGATGCATAATTACATATTCTGATAGACAAAATGTCCACTACATATTAAATAAATAAACAGAAGCTGTGGAAAGTATATATAGTGTGATCTCATTTCTTAAAAAGTACATATATAGCTCTATTTGTGCCTGGCACACAGTAGGTATTCAATGAGTATTTGTGAAATAAATCAATTACATATGAAGAGAAGACATGTAAAAGAAAACACACTCCTGTTTTTGTTGTTGTTGTTGTTGTTGTTGTTTTTAAAAATAGGTGTATGTTATTGGGAAGTGATAGCATCTTTTATTTTCCTATGTTTCTGCAATATTTTAAATTTGTCCTCTCAAAGTAATTATGAAAGCTCAATTCTTTATCAACATTTCCAAAGCGACAAATAATTTATCAATCATTAAAGTTCTTATACCTACATTCAAGGTTGCAATCCGCAGCACCAGATGGCTTATGAGTATTCTGTTCGCTGAGTTGCTGGTTCAAAATTCTCAACTGCCTAAAGAAATAATGAAGAACTATGAATGCAAGAATCCTAGGCTAATTTAATAGTATACATGTTATATAGCCTATCAAAAAAGATAAAAGATAAACCCACGAAGACAGAAGAAGTCCATTTCATCCCTAAAACAAATGAAAAAAAAAAAAACTAAAAACAAAACAAAACAAAACAAAACCATACTACTATTATTATAAGGCCTGAGATAGTTTTTAAAGTTGCCTAAAACATAAAACCTCCCCTCATGAGGAAAACGTTAATCTCTCTATTTTGTCTCTTTTCAGTGATTTTTTTTTTCTATTTCTTTCCTTTCCTATCTCCTCTTGCTGTTTCTCATCTTCTTTCTGTGTATCTTCATCACTGTAGTTAATCATCTACTTTTTAAAAGATTTGTCATTACCTATAGGCACTGACTGCTATCAGACATCTATCTGCCTGATGTTTATCATATGCTGAAACACAATTTTATGCTTCTAATAATTTCTTTATTAGATGGAAAAGTTAATTGTCTTAAGTAACAAGAATATTAACAGGCTACAAGTCTGACCTGCTACAATGAACTTCACAATATGGATTTGCTTCACAAATAGAAACACACAAAAGTGCTTTCTTTACTCCTAAGAAGTTATCACTTAAGGGGAAAAAAAGTTCTCTATTACCTTTCCAGAATTACTTATCTAAAAATATTGTGCTTTAAAATATTTAGTTTTGGTACTGAATCTAAAATGATAGTACCCTACCTCGCATCATTCACATTTATTAATTGTGAGTCAATAAAAATGATAAAATATGCAAACAAAACCCAACTATACAAGTTTTAGGGGGAAATCCACATAATCTTGAAGGGGGAAGGTATTCCTAAGTGAAACTCAATATCCGGCAAGCATCAAGGAAAAGAACGAAAGATTTAACCATATCAAAATTTGAAACTTGTTGTAGAAGTAAAAGCCTGAAAGAAAACACCTGCACATATATTACAGACAAGGGGTCCATAATATTTAAAGAACTCCTACAAATAAGTAAAAAAGGCAATATAGTAAAAACTGACAAAGGATAAGAATGAGTAGTTCACATAAGAAATAGAATGGCAATAACAGAAACATCATGAGTTTGGGTGGGAGGCAAAGATTTCTGGGATGGAATTTCAGTTCTGACATTTTCTGTTATGGAATCTTGGGCAAGTTACTAAGCTTCTGATTCTGATATGGGTGGAAAACTTGCACTCCCAACCTCCCAAGGCTGCTGTGAGGTATCAGATTCCACCATCAATACTCCTGGTATGCAGAAGGTGTTCAATAATTGCTAACTTCCTCTTACCCTTCTTATATCATTTTAGTAGCAGTGCAGCTTGTTAATAGTCTCCTGTCCATAAATCTGTTTTGACAGGATTGTGAAGCAAGATTACATACGGGAGAGAAAAGTAGATTTGACTTCTCTATAAAATTAATCTGGAACCAAAGACACACCCACACAGCTTTTTTTTAATAAGACCTTCCTTTTTTCCTCCAAAAAGCAATTACACTCTAATGAGTGGTTTCAGGTAACTAGATCATTAACTGGATTTTCTACTTGATTTCTTAGCAGATAGAGAAACAA